GCTGGTGAGGCAAATTAGAAACAACACAAGAATGGTCTTGGACATTTTAGAATATTATGAGGCACATCCTGGGAAACAGGCAGCACTCATCCTTCTGGATGCCCAGAAAGCATTTGACAACCTTAATTGGCAGTTTTTGATCCAACAACTTAAAAGTATGAGATTTGGTGTAAGGTTTGAGAAAATGATTAGCACAATATATGCCACCCAAAAAGCTAGAGTGATAGTTAATGGAGACTGCACCAAAATATTTGGAATTAAAAAAAGAGTAAGACAAGGTTGTTCTGTGTTACCTCTACTTTTTATATTAATGATAGAAGTGCTTTTAACCCAAATAAAGCAAAATGGGGAAATAAAAGGATTAAATATTAAAAATCAGGAATATAAAATGCAAGCGTTTGCGGAAGATTTAGTGTTCTTCATCGAGGAACCAGTGGAGGCAGGGACAAATTTAATAAGGGAAATTGAAAGATATGGATTGGTGGCAGGATTAAAAGTTAATAAAGAAAAAACAAAAATGTTAGTGAAGAACATAACCAAAAAACAAAAGAAGGGATTAGAAAAGGAATTGGGATTACAAGTGGAAAAAAAAGATTAAATATTTGGGGATTTGGCTTACAGGAAGATGTTCGACCATAAAGGAAGATAACTATAAGAAATTGATGTTATAAATTAAAAAAGATTTAGAGAATTGGAAAAAGTTGTAATTATCATTGATGGGCAGAATTGCTACGATAAAAATGAATATATTACCGAAATTGTTACATTTTTTTCCAGACAGTCCCCATAAAATTAGACCGGAATTTTTTTTGAAGAATTAAATAGAATGGTGCTCAAATTTATATGGATGGGAAAGAAAGCACAAATAAATGCAAAAATGTTATTAGACAGTAGAAATAGAGGTGGCCTAGGATTTCCAAAATGGGAGCTATATTTATCAGGCAGCGGTCTTCCTTTGAATAAACTTAGGCAATATGAGAGTATTAGCAATCGAAGGACATGATCTACATACAGGATGGGATGCCTTCCTGTGGGATAAGCAAGAAAGGACACATTCATATTTTATCACCATCAAGTTAGGGATTCATTAATAACTATATGGGAGAAATTAAGGAGGAAACATTACATGAAACTACCCAATTGGGTGTCACTGCTGGAAGCAGTGATTTACCCAAATACAATGGAATAAAAAAAGAGGATCAGATATAAGGAATTATTAGATAATCAGGAAAATTTAAAATCAAATGAAGAACTCAAAGAACAGGATATAATGGTGGATTGATGGCTGTATTTGCAGATACGAATGGGATATAAAAAAGATGTAGAAGAATATGGAATAGAAAGGGAACCCCAAGTAGATCAAATCTTAATGGGTAAAGAAGAAAAATTCATAACTTGAACATATAATTATTTATTAAAAGTGGAAATGGAAGAAGAAATAGTAAAAGGCCCCATGATTGCCTGGGCACAAAATATAGCGCATAGTATACAGCTATAGGATTGAGAAAGAATTTGGATCAAAACCTGCAAATTAACATTGTCAACGGCATATAAAGAAAATTTAATTAAGATGTTTTATAGGTGGCATTTGACACCAGCAAGATTGGCTAAAATATATCTGAATATGAAACATATGGACTACACAACTCGATCAGGGCAAAGCAATAGACACAATCTACATAGACTTCTATAAAGCCTTTGATTCAGTGGTACACGACAAACTACTACTAAAACTAAAATCTTATGGTATCTCTTGACACCTACATAACTGGATAGAAGCATTCCTGTCAAACAGACAACAAATGGTCAAAATTGGGAGTGTCCTATCAAATTCTGTACCTGTCAACAGTAGTGTCCCCCAAGGAAGAGTTTTAGGACCAACTCTTTTCATACTCTACATAAATGACCTCTGTGATCATATTAAGAGCAACTGCATTCTCTTCACTGATGATGTAAAGCTGTTCAATACCACAGACAATACTGCTACCCTTCAAAAAGACCTTGACTATGTATCAATCAAATGGCAACTTCAAATCTCAACAAATAAATCCTCTGTCTTACATATTGGCGGAAAAAAATCAGAAAATAAAATACAAGCTAAATAGTCAAGACCTTGTTAAGGATCCAAACTTTGTCAAGGACTGAGTACTCATCTCAAATGATCTAAGTGCTAGAGCCCACTGTAACTACATAGCCAAAAAGGCATTAAGTGTTGTTAATCTAATCCTACGTAGCTTCTTCTCTGGAAATATCACACTATTAACTAGAGCATACAAAACATTTGCTAGACCTATACTTGAATACAGTTCATCAGTCTGGAACCAATATCATGTATCTGATATTAACACAATTGAAAAAGTCCAGAAATATTTCACAAGAAGAATTCTCGGCTCCACTACTCATTGCAGAATACCTTATGCCACCAGACTTGAAACTGTAGACCTAGAAAATCTAGAACTACATCATCTCCGGTCCGATCTAAATATAGTGTATAAAATCATACATTGCAGTGTCCTACCTGTCAATGAATACTTCAGCTTCAACCATAACAATACAAGAGCACACAATAGATACAAATAGATACAAACTCAAGGTAAAATGCACCAAACTTGATCGCAGGAAATACGACTTCAACAACAGAGCGGTCAATGTCTGGAATACTCTACCTGACTCTGTGGTTTCTTCCCCAAACCCCCAAAACTTTAACCTTAGACTGTCTAGTATTGACCTCACCCACTTCCTAAGAGGCCTGTAGGGGGCATGCATAAGCGCACCAATCGTGCCTACCGTCCCTGTCCTATTTTTTATTTTTCTTATAAATATCTATCTCATGTATTCAAAACTATATTTATTCTTATGCCTGTATCTTGTAAGCGATTGACAAATCAAATAAATATTAAAAATATGTAAGCTTACAGACAGAACATATTATCATATGTGGTGGCAATGCTCCAAAACCAAAAAATATTGGGAAAAATTGAGGAAATGGATATTAGAAATCACAGGACATGGCATTGAATTGAAACCAGAAACATTTTTATTGGGGATGATCAAAGGAAATTTAAAGAAACATATTCAATACGTTGTACAACGCATAATAACAGCGCAAGGATAGTTTATGCCCAGATGTAGAAAGCTGAGGATGTACCTTCTGAAAATATGGTAATAAATAAAATATTTGATTGTGCCGAAATGGATAGGCTTATGAGGAAATTGAAAGGTAAAGAAGAGTCTGAGTTCTATGAGATATGGGAAATGTTGTATGTATGGTTAAGGAAGAGAAATAAGGTTTGATATGGAAAAATTGTAAATATATGTAAATGCTTGACACAGTACTTTTAAAATGTAAATGAATATGCACTTTGAAAATAAATAATAAAAAACGTTCTCTTGGCCTCATGAAAATATTAATTGCATGAACCTGGTTTGTAATTGTGACTTTTATTATCTTGGTTTTATTCTGCCAGTCTTCGTTGTTCAGTTGTGCTGTGCCATAATTCCAAATATGCAGGAGTACAGCATAGCAGGGTTGATAGTCAGGCAAACAACAGACATGAAATCAAAGGTTTTCCAGAGTTTTTGTTAGGCAACTTACTTGTAAAGTAATGTACAGTGAGGGCAATTATCTGAGTCAGAAAAGGAGAGAAATTACTGTTTGGTATTGACTCTTAAAGAAAAGAATTGCCATGAGAATTGGAAATCTGGGTTGGAGAGAAAAGTTGTGAGGATACTCCTTTCACCTTTCATCTTTGTCCAAACCAGGGCATTGATACAGTGATATTTAAGAGTCATTTTTGGCTCCAGTAAAACTTTACCCGATTTAGCCTATTGAGACTGGGTTTTGTAAGACAGAGTAAAGCTACAGTTCCAAGTCAGGCTGTGTTTGATTGCCACAGCAAGGCCGTGGAATTAAGGTTTCTTTTAGAATAAAGGATACAGAAATTCCACAGCCCTGTATGAAGTCTATGAACATTATTTTGATCATTTCAGGGTTCCATTACGAAATCTTAAAGTGCATTGTCATCCTAGCTTGATTCTTTCCAGACTAGTTGAACTTGTCCAAAGAAAATGTAGCATTTTTGAACCAAACTAATGCAAAAAAAGTGGCAAAGGAGTATTTTTCATAGTAAAACAACAGGATTAAATGCTAAAGAGCAGAGCATATCTTCAATTGAATTATTCATGGCACTGATGTTCATCGGATCTTAAGGTTCCTCTGTGCGAAACACCGGAAGTCTAAAATAAAAGGTTGATCATTGCGTTTCTGTTATTCCAGTGAAATATAGAATAATCTGCAGAGTCACTTTCAATAGTGTAATATGATCAAGTGTTTTAAAAATTCAGTGACTTTTTTAAAGAAATGGCTCCAATGCTTTGGCATGGGCTTAAAAAGAAGCAAATCAATAACTGTATTCAAAATATTCTACAATATTTTATTTACAATACTGTACCAGTCTGAACCGAATTCTCAAAATGGCTTTTTTTTAAAAAAATAACAACAATGAGTGTTTTAGGAAATACTTTAACACAATTTTATGATACTTTATTTTTGTGGAAATGGCCTCCAACATTTTTATGACATCTCCTTTTTTCCATACACAGTGTGTTAAGAGTATGTGTCCATCTATTTTGAGTTAATCTAAAGGAGGATTCCTTTATAGAATTTATTATTTTAAAAGAAAACCCAAAAAGGTTTGCTACATTGCTTAAAGATAGATTGCACCAAGAATTGTGAAATGTGAGGGCTGGAGCTGGGTGATATAATTAAAGGATAAATGGTTGTAGCTTATAACTGGCTCTCAAGCCTGTGCTGGAACATTTAAACGTGCAATTTTGGAGTTTGTGGCTAGTTAAGGTAACAATGCACATAGCTGGCATACCTTTAAAAATGTACTTAGTGAATTTTAATTGTGTTTTTGTGTATGAATTTTAATCCAGACACATTCTTGACAAACCTGTGTTGCCTGTAAAAACCTGACTTGCTTTTTTTTATGTTGCAGCGGACGAGTTTCAAATTTCAGCTTACTTTGTCAAAAGATGGGCTAATCTGCGATGTATTGGGCAACAGCACGGTGGTAAGCTATCTATGTCTCCCTCTCTGAGTACTTCGGAGAAACAAGGTGAAAAGGCTACGCTTGGATCCATGGTATTCTTCAACAAACTATGTGAAAGATTTGAGAGGTCCTTGATGCTCTCTGAGCTTGCTTTCTTGCAGGTGTTTCATTACCCAAACTAGCTAACATCATCAGTTCTTGCACTGATGATATTCCCTAGTTTGGGTAATGAAGCATCTGCAAGAAAACAAGCTCAGAGAGCACCAAGGGCCCTTCGTGGAAATCTTGAGCTACAAATATTCTCCTTTTTTGGCAGAAAGTTGTCTGTTCTTCTCTTTCTATTGCTTGACCATAACTTGCTGATGGCTTCCTGGATGGAAACCACGACGTAAGAGTATTTACAGTTTGTCTTGGCAACAGAATTGAAAGGAAACATCCTCTAGCTTTTAGTACCTTTTTTTTTTTACTTAGGGCCGCTAAGAAGGTACATCCTTTACAGATGATACATGGAGGCGGGGGGGGGGGCGCATCCTGACCTATCCATAGTTCAGGAACAGAATTATGAAAGAGCGTGGTTTCTCTTTTTATATCAGAAAGAAAAATGAGGTTCAGCTAATCGGTCACCACCTTCCAATTGAAACACAATATCTCAAGCAGGCATTTTAGGTCATATCAACTGACTTGACATTCATTCTAATCACAGGTATAATACTCTAAATAAATAAAATTTTCCTCGGTCTCTCTCTCTCTCCTCTCTCTCTCTCTGTGTGTGTGTGTGTGTGTTTGTGTGTGTGTGCTGGTCACGATCGGCTATTTGGTTATACTTTTATGCTCTATATCACAAGTGATAGATTCTGGTTTCTAGAAAAAAGTCTATGCAACTCTTTGATGTGTGCCCAGGACTTCATCTCAAGAGATGGTCTACACATATTTGCTTCTCTTTTCTTAAGAAGCTTATTTCTTTGACTGGGGCAAATGTTTGTGTTATGAATTTCCTGCTGCTGTTTTGTTCCATGCTACTTACTAATTAGTTCTTAAAAGAGTAATTAGCCTGGACTCCCTGCAACAATGGCTTTACTCAGCATTTTATGGTGTCTTTTGAATTCTGAATCAGTAGAGGTTGCTCTATCAGTCAGCCGTATTGTCATAGGGTAGTTCAAATATCTGCCAGAGACAGCTTTGGTTTATCTTTTTAAGTGATGTCATTGGCCCTGATCGCTTTTCATACTTTTGCACCCAAGGAACTCTAAAAGGGTATCATATCAAATCTTAGGCTGCCAAAAATAAAATGTTTTCAGCAGTTAATTGTTTGGCTGAAAACTTGCTTGAATCCCATTAAATATGGCAGTGTTACAGTATTGTGAACGTTTGTTCAGTCTATTGGACATGTAATCTCTACTTTGATAACACCTTAAATCAAGCCCATTCTGCCCCATTGCCTTTAAGCTCAGTGCTTTGGGATGAGAATGTTTTAAGAATCATGTACCCCATATATATTTTTTTTCATTTGACATTCTATGCATCTTGCCCTCATCTGTCTTAACTGGTCCCTTTAGGGCTTACCCAAGTAGCGAAGACCATATTTACTTATATGACTTTTCCTTAAATTGCATTTGAATTCTAGTGCTCTTTTAAATCTTATAATCTGTTATGGTTTTCCAACATTTTATCATTATAGCAACGTACGAAACTACTTTTTTGAAACTTCAGAACACTAAAATGATTTCGTGAGTTGGCCTACTATCATTTTGTTTAAAATATAACAAAACCTCTACAGGCTTCAGCATAGAATTTCTCTGAAATATATCTTTTTTTTATGGAGGGGACTTGTTTTCTTTTTGTTTTCATCATGATTGTGGCACAGCAGCACAATGTCTCAGTGGTTAAGTTGTTGGGCTTAGCACCTTACCTGGCTCAAACCCAAGTGCAGCGCAATGGGCTGAGTGCCCGTCTTCACTGAGCTCCTGCCCACCTAGCATTTGAAAGCATGCAAATGTAAGAAGATAAATAGGTGGCACTTTGGTAGGGAGGAACTAGTGCTCTACAGCAGGGGCTCCAACCTTGGCAACTTTGATACTTGTGGACTTCAACTCCCAGAATTCCCTGGAACTAATGCATTTTTTTTTATATGACTATCCATTGTAGCCTGTTTATTCTCTTGTGATCCTTTCCTCCGCAATCTGTCTGCTGTAGCCTGTTTACTCTCTTACAATCCCTTCCTCTAGAATCTCTTAGCTCTAGGGGCTAAGAGAAAAAAAAAACCAGACATGGCTGGCTGAGGAATTCTGGGAGTTGAAGTCCACAAGCCTTAAAGTTGCCAAGGTTGGACACCCCCGCTCTTCAATATCTTGCTGGTCATGGAAATGTTTTCATAGAACGCTGGCTCATAGCCTTGAAATAGAGATGAGTGCCACCCCCTAAAGTCGGCAATGACTAACGGAGTAAAATCCGCAGGGATTCTGACAGGGGAAGCCTTGGAGCTAAACAGTTTTTGTGTTGCTGTTAATATTATTATTAAGAGTGGGCACAACATCACATATCATTCTGTTTGCTTGTTAGAGTCTAGTTCTAATACTGCACCATATTAATGTTGAGTTTACAATTCCCATCTGCCCCAATCTTTGCTAATTGAAAGACTCAGTATTGTTTTAGGGCTGCTAACAGTGAAAATCAATAGATACCACAAAGAAATAAAAATAAATACAATTAAAACTAGGCAAATAACTTTGTATTTGCCTTAAAATAAATGGTTTTAGGAATTCATGAGAATGTGACATCAATCATTTGGTTTCTTGTTTTGTGTCTGTCATCATAGGTGAGATGGTGTTATCTGCCATCAAAATTGCAGAAAGATTGACATAAAAGAGTGTTTTTAAAATATCTGGAAAAACATGTTGTAAGATAGAACTGGAATAGGAGAAAAAAGAGTCAAGAAATTTTGCATATTCCAATGGAAAAATCTTGGCATTTTTTTTTTCCAAATTTAGTTCTTTACTTTAATAATTTTTGCCTGTCAACAAAAAATGGATTATGGAACTCAATTGGCCAAAAACAGGGTTACAGTATTTAAAAACTAAAGGATTGGATAATCTAAAAAGTGCTTCTGAAGTTTCATTACGTTAAAAAGCTTCCAAAATGTATATGTTCTTATACTTATGCAGAATTGCGTGTATTTCCGGATCGTTTTGTGATTTATGTCTCAAGATTTGAACCCAATCCATCTTCTTGGGTCAGAGAAAGTGTGGCATTGGTATGTATGAAAAATATTAACAAATAACATATTTTACAGCATTCTGGTTAGAAACGTGGGTGGCTTCATGTTAAGCCTTTGCCATTCATGGATTCTTGGCATGTGGTTTGAGATGGAAAATTTTACATAAATTCTTAGGCCAAGTGATTTAAAAGTTGGATAGAAAAATTGTTCTCTGAATTCTTAAGCTTCACACCCAGAAAAGAAAGATATTGAGCTTCTGGTAAGTATTGTTAATGAATGCAAATTATCCTTTAAAGTGCAGAATAAAGAACACCATAAAGAAGTATTTCACATGTGAATGATATAAATTAATATATTGTTGTCATCCATACAAAACCAGATACTTTCCCTCTTTTTTTTACTTATGGGAGCATTATTTTGGAGCATTCATTTGTTCTGCTGTATTACATTATTAATATTATTCATCAGACAGACAGATGTTCAGACCGGATTTAACATTTTTATCTACCTATTGAGTCCTTCTCAAGGACCTGGGATAGGCAATTGTTGATGTTTTATGGTATTTAGAGGTACTGGAGTAGAATGTAAGCTGTTCTGAATAAAGCTGCCTATTCCAATTGACTGATGGTGAATTTGTCAATGCCAATGGTATTCAAGTAGTAGTCGAGTTTTGGAATTGTACCCCACACACCTATTACTATTGGCACTACCTTTGCTTTCTTTTGCCACAGTTGTTCTATTTCTATTTGCAGTTCTTTGTATTTTGTTATCTTCTCCAGTTCTTTCTCTTCTATTGTGCTGTTTCCAGGCATTGCCATATCTATTATCAAGACTATCTTGTCTTTCTTATCAACAGTGGTTAAGTCTGGCATGTTATACCCATCTGTTTGAGTTGTAAAATCCCAGAGCACTATAGTTTCTTCATTTTCTTTGATTTTCTCTATTTTATATTTCTACCAGTTCTTGCTTGCAGGCAAATCGTAATTCTTGCAAATCTTTCAATGTATTATTATTGTTATTGTTGTCGTTGTCGCTGCTGCTTTATTTATTGATTTGTTTGTTTGTTTGTTTATTTGTTTATTTGTTTATTTATCAAGCGATTATAAGATAACAGGTATAAGTATAAACGTAGTTATGAATACATGAAATAGATACGAATAAGAAAAAAAAGAAACAATAGGACAGGGACGGTAGGCATGTTGGTTCACTTATGCAAGGCCCCTACAGACCTCTTAGGAAAGGAGTGAGGTCAATAGTAGAAAGTCTAAGGTTAAAGTTTTTGGGGTTTGGGGAAGAAACCACAGAGTCAGGTAGAGTATTCCAGACATTGACCACTCTGTTGCTGAAGTCGTATTTCCTGCAATCAAGTTTGGTGCGGTTTACCTTGAGTTTGTATCTATTTGTATCTATTGTGTGCTCTTGTATTGTTATGGTTGAAGCTGAAGTATTCATTGACAGGTAGGACATTGCAATGTATGATTTTATATACTATACTTAGCTCGGACCGAAGACAGCGTAGTTCTAGGTTTTCTAGGTCTAGAATTTCAAGTCTGGTGGCATAAGCTATTCTGCGAGTAGAGGAGTCGAGAACACTTCTTGTGAAATATTTCTGGACTTTCTCAACTGTGTTAATATCAGATACGTAATATGGGTTCCAGACTGATGAGCTGTATTCAAGTATTGGTCTAGCAAATGTTTTGTATGCTCTAGTTAGTAGTGTGATATTACTGGAGAAAAAGCTATGATTTTTCGTAGCTTTTTAGCGGATTAGGTTAACAACTCTTAATGCCTTTTTGGCTATGTAGTTACAGTGGGCTCTAGCACTTAGATCATTAGAGATTGATAGGGTTGGACACATGAGTTAGCTTGCAACTGTTCCAAGATATGAAAGCAAAATAATTATCCTACATCTGAGCTGACATTTCTTTTACATAAATCAAACTGTCATGAATCATGAAAAATGATTCCTTTTAATTTTCTTGGGAACAATGCAGTCCTGATTTGCCATTATCTTCTACCAAGGTGTGGTTTCAAGTGTTTCAATCCAATTTGTACTCCTGGAATTTCCTGGTTATCTCTCCTCCAAGCAGTAGCCAAGCCAATTTAGTTTTCTTTTTAAAGTTCATCCAAGGTCATTTAAAATAGACATCATAGGAATAATTAACTTCAGAAAACAGCTTTGCATTGATGCTTTTCCCCGTTGGGATCAGAAGACTGGACTGTGCTGCCATATCCACGGGGATTAATAGAGAAACTCGTGAAATTAGAAACACAATAGACTGCCAGTTTTTTTTTTTTTAATACAGGTAGTTCTCAGTATAAATCCTTCCATTCCCCACCACCCATTAAGAGCTGAAGAAGCTTCTTAGATGAGAAGCAAAACGGCTTCAAAGAAAACCAAGAAAGTTCAGTTACATTCATATGTCTTCTCAGTCTGTGTGAGCTTTATGCTGACCAAGGAAATAAAAGCTTAGGTTTGTTGGAGAGGATGAGGAAGTTCTTCTGTTTATCTTTTGAAGGCCCTGACTGAAGAAAGAACACACACCTCATTTCTCTCTCTTCGCTTCTTTGTGCCTGATTTTCTGCCCCCGATGGGCACTATGGCATTCATTTTTGTCTTGTTTCTGAGGATGCAAAAGGCTTAATATTCACCTTGGATATGAAGTGCACACCTGTTTGTTGCTTGGGATTAAAATGGGACAATTTGAATCAAAATATTGAATAGAGGAACATCACAGTGACAGCAAAGGTGTTGTCAGGGTTGTGGTTTTCTCATTTATGGCTGTGAGAGCTGAGTCATCAGAAAGGCTGAACAAAGAAAAATGATTGTCTTTGAATTGTGATGCTGAAGAATGTCGTTGAGAACATCATGGACAACAGCCACAAATCGTTAAATAGCAGATGAAAGTAAACCAAACTTTTCACGGGAAGCACTAATTATGAAGCTAAAACTTATCTATGTTGGACATATAATTTGAAAGAAACAGCCACTGGAGGAGACCGTGATGCTGGGAAAAATGAAAGCATAAAGAAGAGCCCAACTGAAGACAAGGTGGTTAGATAACATCACAGAAGACACAAACTATTAGAAGCTACCAAAGAATTAGTTACTGGCAGAAATCCTTGACAAAACGTTGATTCCCAAAGAATTGAAACAATTGAAAGACTGATCAATGAACAACCCCATATGTATGCTTCAGGCGGGGGAGTCAAAATTTTTAACAACCGGTTCTTTTTTTAACAAAAAAACCAAATTTTATTCAGTTTTTCACATTAAAAACAAAAATCTCTTTTTAGTGGACAACATATTCAGGGTCATCACTTTTACATACAAATAGGACAGCAATTATACATTCATATATGCATACTTAATTCTATGATTACCTTTTCCATTCCAAATTTTCAGTAAGGAGAGAACCAAACACATTAATTCTAGCCTCTTTCATTAATCTCAATCGAAACATCTTTTTGTTTCATTTCAATTATTTCAAATATAATCCTTTAATATTTAATTTAAAAATAAACATAAACAATATGCGTTTGCCTAATAATAATAATAAAGGTTACCAATGTCTCTCCTTGCTTTTAATAGTCTATATTAACTTATTAATTTAGTTGGTTCTCTAGTCTGCCTTTTTAATTCATCAACCATTATCTCTGAAAAAACAATTTCTTTTCAACATTTTACTATTTCCGTATTTCTTTATTTCATGCACCTGTTTCTTACTGCTTCTCCTCCCCCTCTTTTCCCCATATCTTTTCTCATTCCAGTTTATATCCTTTTCTTTCTTAATATCTTCCTTTCCCCTTTTCTGCTGGGTCTTTCTGCCTTTTCTGATTTCACAGGTATTCCCCACTTTTGATTGCCTTCTTAAATCCCAACTTTTTAACCTTCCTTCTTTCCCCACTTCTTTGTAATGTTCTCTGTGTTAATTGTCTATTTAAAATGTCTTCTCCTTGAGTCGACTCCTCTTCCTCTGAAGCTCTTTCTTCTTCTTCAATCGCCATTTCCATTTTTTCTAACACAGAACAAAGTGATTCGCCTCTTTCCTGTAGTAATTCTCTCATGTTTTTAAGTTCCATTTTTAATTTCCGAAGTGATATCATCATTACACACTCTTGTATTTTATGATCGTTAAAGTCCACAAAAAAAACTTTTACTTTCCGTCTTTCTTCTTTCAGTTTTTTAAAGTTCTCAATTATTCCAGCCCAGGGTCTATACCAAAAACATCAATCAATCCCACAATCAGTCTTTCCTTGCTTTTTTCTTTATTCTGGTTCTGCTTTCACTTTCTAAGATTCTTACTTTGTTTCAATATTTCTTTAATGTTATATCCACACAAGTTCATGCAGAAACAGGATGCTTTCCCTTTTGTTTGAGCTCAAGTTTTTGTCAAAAGGTGGCACTCTCCATTATACAAAGTCTTCACCTTTTCCCCCTATTTTTTTATTTAGGGTTTTTCGAACCTCAATATTCCAGCACAGTCCAGTCTCCAATTTGTAAACTTTATTATTATTATTATTTTGACAATCTTAAGTCCAGCTTTGTTTTATGCCTGTTCATTGCCAAAATATTTTAGTCCAATTTTGTTAAATCTTTAGTTCCGGCTTCTTCCTTTCCTGATTCGAAGCCGCGCTTAGCTATCAAAAATATTTTCTTATTTTTTTTTCCTGTCCCTTTGTAATTTCGCCACTCACTTTTGTTTTCTTAAAAATTCCATGTTACCTTAATCCCAGGGTACTTTTGGTACTATCGCCCAGTTGTCCCGGTTCAGATGTTATCCACCTCTTTCATCCCTCCTGCACAAATCTTAGTCCAGCTGAGTCCTCCTCTTCGGGGTGGCCATTTTAAAGCACCGCTGCAGTCATCTTCGGGGGGAAAAAGACCAAGCCCAGGAGGGGAGATGCGGCTCCCCTCAACCTGGCTTGCGGCTTCCCCTTACTCTGCCACCCCTCCAAGGCAGCTTCAGCCCCTAATCGTGATGATCGGGGCTCTCAAACAAAAGAGCACGGACCATAGCCGCAGAGAGTTGCGA